GGCCGCATACATAACTTGTTTACAGAAATGAAATTTTCAGTACTGACTAAACTACCACATCAAGTGGTATGGATATATTTTCTTTTTTTAGTGATTAAGTATTTATACATATACATATCTATGTTTGAATATCTAAACGATGTAAGTTGGTTTGTCATTAAATTCAATTTGTTGTTATATATGTATACATTCTTGTTTTTTCGGTTAATACTTAATGTGTGTGTTTTTTTGTATTTTTGTATATTTGTTGTAACAGATAAAATAAACACTACCCCTGAGGATGCTAAAAAAGTTTTAGCGAAACGTCGGGTGAAAAGTGGAATAAAGTAGTTTTATTCGCACAAGAACTGAAAAGATCAGACTAGCCTACAAACATAAAATAAAATAAATTTGAACTGATCGGACAAAAAAGATAGATTTCAATCTCGGAAGGCCTGCCGATATTTTTGTTTATTCCTGTCACCAACAAAAATACAAGGAACAAAATGAAGGATTTTTACAAACACATGAGATACAAATACGGGGAGAATACATGTATTAATCTCAAACATTACAGCAAACAAAATCAAAAAATTAGCAAATCAGAAAGAAGATTTGAAATTCTTATTAGAATGTAAAAGGTATGGACTTATCCCCAACCACTTGAAGAATTCAATCAAAAACTTAGAAGTAAATACCGACTCTGATAGGATAAAACAACAAATTGAAAAGACAAAACGGAGTTTTCCAATTAAAATCTTAAATATAGAAATAACGCAAACCAACATCAATATCAAAACAACAAAATACCTATTAAATAATGCCCAAAAACAACTAAAATACGCCTTAAATCAGTTGGAAATAAATAATTTTATCAGAAAACAACGTTTCCTCAGTGATGGGATCGCAGAAAAGAAAAGAACGGCTCTCAACTTTAAACTAAACAAGTTAAAAAACGCATCAAATGCGAAGATTGGGAATAAAAACCAACAATAGCTGGTTCAAAAACAAGACGTCTATTGAATTTCCTGAAGAGGTAAAGTGGATACTCTCTCTTGTTGGTACTTTGCCAACAACAAAATCAAACTTTTCGCCGATACATATAATAGCAGAAATCGAGCAACTTATACAGTCACTAGAGAACGATAAGGAAAAGGAAATAGCAAGAAATAACGTGAGCAATAGAATATTACTTTTCAAACGCAACATAAAACACAACGAAGCGGAAAAATTAATATTATCAGCATTTCATAAAGCAAAGGCATTTATCCAGAAACACAAAAACAACATTATTATAACTGATGCCGACAAAGGCAACAAAACTGTAGTTATATACAAAACAGAGTACCTAGAGAAGATGGAGAAACTAATAGAAGACAGAAATACATATAAATCAATACGAACTGATCCTACAAACACTCTTCAAAGGAAAAACAACAAAATAGTGGACGAACTTTACAAAGGCAAGCACATAAACTTCAGGGAAAAACTAAAACTCACCTGCACTGCAGCCACGGCGCCCAGAATTTATAGCTTGCCTAAAATACACAAGCCTGGAGTTCCCCTTCGTCCTATTGTCTCTTCTATTATGGTCCCCTGTTACAAACTGTCCAAATACATCGGCGAGATTTTACAAAGTCTAATTTCAGGAAAATATAACGTCAAGAATGCTTTTAATCTTAAAGATAAGTTAACCAACGTCCATGTGTGTGATGAAGATGTTTTAGTTTCGTTTGATGTCATTTCCCTATTCACAAATATACCAACGACATTAGCTTCGAGAATAATTATGAATAAGTGGGACCTAATTCAACAGAAAACTTCTATTCCAAAAAAGAAATTTCTCGAAATAATAGACTTTTGCCTCAAGGATACCAATTACTTTATGTTCAGCAACAAACTATACGCACAAACATTTGGAATGCTCATGGGAAATCCAATTTCTCCAACAATCGCTGACATTATCATGGACAACCTACTGGACAACACCATCACTGAGCTGAAAGAAAAATCTAACATTGACATAAAGTTTGTAACAAAATACGTGGACGACATCTTCGCTATTATCAAACGTAATGACGCGAATATTATTCTAGATACTCTTAATAAATACCACAATAAACTAAAATTTACTATGGAAATTGAAAAAGACTCAAAAATACCATTTCTAGATGTTTGTATTTATCGAGAAAAGCAAAACCTCCTTCTAGACTGGTACTCAAAACCAACCTCCTCTGGACGCCTGATAAATTACTTCTCATCTCAACCACGAAAATATAAAATTAACACCGCAAAAAACTTAATCCACAAAGTACTGACGATAAGCCACACACAGTTCCATGACGCCAATATAGAGAAAATAACCAACATCCTAAAAAACAATAATTATCCTGTCAAATTAATACACGAACTCATAAATCAGGAAATAATAAAAAATAGCAACCACCCTAACACACAATCGGACTCAGAAACAACAAAAAAGCGCAAAGAAATTCTTCAGTGTTACATACATTCCCAATCTTACCGATAATTTTGATCATAACATAACATAAACACAAAACACAGCACTTGCATATAAATCTAATTGCACACTTTCGAGAATATATACAAAAACAAAGTGTCCAGTGGAGGTCCACCAACAAAACAACGTAGTCTACGAAATTAAATGCAATGGGAAGGAAACAGAAACATGCGGAAAGGTGTACATTGGGACAACGAAGCGGCCTTTAGGTGTTCGATTAGGCGAACATGAAGCGGACATAAGGAAACGGAAAAGCAGTACAGCATTATCACAGCACATTTTAACAAGTGGACACACAGCTGATTTCGCGAACACAAATATTATTGACAAAGAAAGAAGAGAACAGATTCGATACACAATAGAGAGCCTTAGAATTATGCAAAAACGAGAAATGACAATTAATAAGAAGGAAGATACAGACAACATTGCGGCCGCATACATAACTTGTTTACAGAAATGAAATTTTCAGTACTGAC